AGCGAGCAACGAGCCGCTGGGGGCTGGTTTTGTGTGCTTCCCCAGCGGTCGTTTTAGATCTTGAGTCAGTTCGGTACCGGTGCACGTCGCGGGTGATCATGATTATGATTTTATATAAATTATGCCTTTTTTGAGTACTTTTGGTCAATTCAATTCAACAGTTCTTCATGTATTACAAAGGTTTTTTAATCCAAAGTTAATATTGCAATCAATAACAAACCACCAACAATAAGTTTGATGTCCAGTAACATTTCTTCTTCTTCTTAATTTGGATGTAACAATAATTGAATAGACTGAAAGATATCAACACGTCCTCGCTGTTGGCCATCTCGTGAACACTGGCGAAAGCGGAGCACAGAGTTTTTACGAGCATATTTAGCACACAGCGTAATATGCTCGATGCGTAACACGCTCGATGCGAATGCTACATTACAACTCGTAACTTTGGTCAGTTCTCACCTTAATGTGTTGCTTACATAAGTCATTTACGATTATATTGTCAATTAATAAGAATGACAGGGTTACGTTATTTATAGTTTTCAAAATTATATTTCTGCATCACAGATCTAGCAATTATGTAAATAGTAGTTCTTTTGTCTACATAAAAACGATTTGGAGTCTAATTAGGGCTGGCGTTAATAATTATGTCAATTATGACACGTGCCGGTGTCGATTAAGCTTTAGTAGGAAATGATGAGCTTGACCTATACGGGTCTCCCTTGTTAATAATCCGTCGTTTTGATTGTAGTCGACGACTGGTACAGGGGACTGGCAATTACGTGACGTCACGACGGTTAACGACCCCATTACAACATATTGTATGAATGAATGCAGGCCACGTGACGAGTGACGTTTTTGTTCGCGAATATGAATCTTGATTTCAAATTGAACTTACTTATAAAAACTGAATGTTTAAACGTAGGTCAAGTTCGCTCCGGTTTACGACTATGAGCTTTGTTAAATTGTCGACGAGATTGAGATGTCAAGGTCTTTGATTCTCAGTTAGCGTAACAAAGTTTATGGACTGACCCGAGATTACTGTTTGGTAGAGCAAGACTACAGGATAGATACTATTCTAGGACAAATTGTGACTCCTTAACTTGAGCAGCGTTTAATTACAACCGTAGTCACTGTGTTATTGGTGTAGACTATGCCAATCGAATCGTTGTTATCGATGTTATGAAAGTTGAACAGCATGAAAATATGTCTGATCAGTGCGATGGCATCGAGGTAGACTGAAACGTTAGTCCGAGAAGATAATCATTGATTTTACGAATTCAACATCACGGACTCAGAATGAACGATCTCCGTCGGCCCATTCATCTCGTTTTCATGTACACACCGCTATTGCAATACGAAAGCGAGAGCGAAATTTACTCGGGCTGAACTACGCACCACGTACCGCCCTAAATACGAAGAGAATAGAATATCGATCACTAGAACGTTAATTGATAATCAAGAGCTTTGTGAGCAAACGGTTGCGTAGTTATCGCTTTCCACTGAAACATCTACTCACTACCGCTATCGAATTGACCATCTTATAAAACCGCCTAAGACATTCTCAGCGTATCTTCCTCAATTTAATCATAATTAAATACCACACATCCCATCTCGCAGCTAAATCTAAATATAGCGGGCGCCGATATCAGCGGCTCGCCCTTGAACCAGTCGCACGGAAACATTTTATTATTATTACCGAGCTGTCGGCGAGCACGAGTATATCGGGTCGACGACCCCGCAACCACGTGTCTCCTTATCGAACTATCTAATGCGATTGTGGGTAAACAACAAGCCGAGATAAATGACTAATTCCACAATACTCGTTCACTTCAGCCATTCACAAAAAATTGTCGTCATTACGACTACCGTGACAGTTGGCTAAAATGATAGCACTCCTATGCTATGAGCGAAGCTACATGTATAGTTTTGCTGATCACTAATCCATCAGAAAACTACGTCTGTTAAAACCCTGCAACAACTTGATTCTAGTTAGTTTTATCTAAGTCATTGCCCAAACCATCATTTAGATAGAAAAGTGTGGAACTTTGATCACCAAGCAACTTGTAAGCAATAATTGCAAAGTTTTGACGAACGGAAGAACCGCATTGTGGGAAGTGGGACAACGTTACGTAACCGGTATTTGTTGGCCGGCCAACCTACACAGGTACATCCTTACAAATGCGTACGACCTTGAATGTGAACTCCAAGTGTAAACAGGCACGTGTTCGATGCATTGTTTTATGGCGATCCGCGCAAACAACCACCACACTAACTTCAATTTGTTATCGTCTTTAGAGAACGAGGTATAAGTGCCATGCTCATTATATCCCTATAAACAAAGAGTATGAAGTCAAAATGCAAAAGATATGAATAACTAGGGCAATCTAGCAAGGGTTGTGACACATCTTATTTCAGTGTCGCTAACACAATTATTTTATGATAACCTTTTCTAAATGTTGGGTCTTCATCTTTAAAAAAATATCTCGTTACCAAAGTAACTCCACTATTCCTAAGGCTGTTTGCAGTTATTAGTTAAATTTGATGACCGGAATGTCGTTATTCAAAACAATTGAGGATTTAGAGTAACATCCATTGTTGTAACCTAGAAATTATTTTTAATGCGAAGTCCAAGGAATAACCCGAATGACGTTTGATTTACACCAGCCTTTCAAAATCGTACAAAGCTGCACGAGATACATGCGTCAGCCGTCAAGTTCCATTTACGTTGATTCCGTCAAACACACGCTCCGTTCTGGCTGCGCTTCTACATAATGTATGCTTGTAATGCGAGAATGGAACGACACTGAAGTACGGCTACGTTGCCGCTCTTGGGACGTTTTGTAATTGAGAAGACGAACGCACAAATCTCCTGGAAGCGAGTAATATTTGCCTACACATCAAACTTTCACTATCGCTGCACTTTCGTTTTTATATCCGCTAGCGACGGCTAGCTTTGTTATTTCTCCAGCACGGGTTTTTCTTTTTACCTCTATACGTCCGTTACGCAATGTTTTGATAGTTCCAATTTTCGTTCCATTTATTAAACAACCGTAAACGGAAACATAGTAGTAATTGCTTAGGTAAGTTTTTAAGGATGTATGGTGTTGTTTTCAGAAAAAAAAAAGTCATCAAATGTCCATAATAGCGCCGCGCCATACAGCCATGTTTGATTTACCATTGTCAGTACCTACTGGAAATTGCCTCGTCGCCGGCAGTGCGAAAGTGCGGCAGTAACAATATATGTTTTTAGTTATAGATACATACAGGCTAGGCTAATATCTGTTTGTCAAGTAAAACTTATCAATGAAACCGTTAAAAAATATTTCTGTTCTATGGCTCTTGACCCATGGTTTATGGGATTTCAAACAATATGGAAATAACAAAATATTGTTAGCTTTTTTTTTCAACAAATGATTACAGAGATTATCATATAACACTATACCCAGAGGTCTATTAGCAGAAAGGATAGATAATATTTTTACACTTAAAAAGATTACAATAGTGGTAAATACCATTTACAAGAAGGGAGAAAACGTTACATGCCCTACAAATTTAAGCCTCTGTTATGCCATATTCTAAGCGATATATTGTAGACAAGTTACATACATTTTATATTTTTTAAATAGTGTGATAATTATATGGTCACATAAGGTACTACAAATCATTCCATATGCAAAGATATCATAAATATCATGTTAAATAAACTGGAGAAAACTAATTTAAATTTAACTACTGAATGACACTAAAGCTTCAAGATATTCATTCATTCGTTCGTTCTTCATTTTATATCTCTTAAATAGCCTTCTCTTTGATAAAACTAAAATGTCACTCTTCATAGAGTAAAATTATAGTTTGACAGATATTATTTAAAAACTATTAGTGTTTGATTCATAAGATTATGAAAATAACTACAGAAATTGTTGTTGAAATGCATTTACTTTGCTTCCTCGTCAGCAAAAACTTCATTTTTTATACAAAATAAGAAGCAAACTCATTCATTTTTGTTTTAGTAGCCAATTAATTGTATTATAAATGTATAGTTAAAAGATTTGATTGATGTAAACCACATATGCATAGCTTTCGTAGATGATTCACAGACAAAACTATTTGATAATATAGACTAACTAGCTTGACTGGGCATAGTCGTTTTGCCATATATATCATTTATATTAAAAAATAGGGGTGAAAGGATGGGGTTTGTATGTATGTTTTTTTATGTTGTATCATAAAAAAATAAAAACAGAAAAATATCTAAAACTAAAAAATTTTATGGGATTTAAATTTAGGAAATAGAGGTCCGATTCTCAGAAAAAAAAAAAAAACAAAAGAATTTTGGGGGGGGGCGGCCCCCCCGGGGGGGGTGGGAAAAAAAAAAATTTGACCCGAGAATTTTATATTACATATAAAAAAAAATTATGAGGGGGGGGGGCGGGGGGGGGGGGGGGGGGGAGGGAAAAGGGGGGACGAGAATTTTATATATTACATAAAAAAATAAAATTTACATTCATATGTTTATTTGTTACATGCACTTTATTTCACAAGTAACCAACTTGTACAATATCAATAATTGTCTTACAGCATTGTCAACTCTACGTCATCATTTTACTAAAAAGAATATTAATTTTAAGCCTTATAGCCATAATACATAATATATGTACTAAACTATGCATAGCCTAGTAGACAAATAATTGTAAGAAATAAAAGAATGTAACATAAACATTTTTAATAATACTTTACTGTTCTGTCCTTCCAAGAAAGAGTTCCAATAATATATATAATATCAATATCCCTATTGTATTGTTTACTACAATAGTATTTAATGAAATAGTAAAAATGCTAATTGATATAAAGAAACATAAACATAATAGGAATCAGTTAGTTTGATGTTAACCAAAAATTTTAAAGTATATTGGTTTTTCTAATCATAGGGTTTTTTAAAATAATCAAATGGCATTGAGGTATAAAGCATTGTACTTAAAATTCTATGGTAAAAAATATCTTTAAACATTGAAGAATGTGAACTTAAATAAATAAGCACTTACTGTTGAATTCCTATATGGTCCCCCTTGTGGGTTGTATGGAGGCATAGGTCGCGGAGGCGGCCAGCCTGGAGTGGGGCCATAGGCACCCTGTGGCTGATCATAATTGTTTGGATAACGGTGCGGTGGCACGCCACTAGATTGCAATAAAGAGTTCAAAGTTGGCGTAGGGCCTGGTGCTTGCGATACAGCTTGGCCCGGAAAGAATCTTTGTTGTTGAGGCGGCCTAGGCTTGCCAGGGAAGCCTGGCCTAGGTGAGTAATACGGGTCGGCGCCTTCTGGATACCTGTAGGCCCCGTACTGATCGGCACCAGGCCGATCGTGACCTGGCGCTTCGCCTCCGTCTCGAGGCTGGCCCGCTTCGACAGACATAGGCGATTTACTCTTAGTATTCACAACGCCATCGAGCGGAACGCGCCCGACGGACTTATCTGTGCCGTTTTGTAACAGAGCGTTCCGAGATTCACTGAGCTGCTCCGATGGACTCTGATCTACGGTCGCTTCACTTCGCTGAGACTCAGCCTGCGTCGCAGCCATGTTCGGCTGGTGGCGGCCGTCTCTGCTAACACTTCTCGCGATCGACCGGCTCACTTACGTTACATCGAAAACGGGCGTCGGATTGCAAAACCGCGACGCGGACACTTCCATCACTAAAAACCCAAATACTTCGCACGAATTATAAAGCGAAATGACGACAAATCGTTCACCGACGCACACACATCGATCACATATCTACTCCATTCGCATAAACGAGGTTATGGAAAAGGTTACACTGCTAGCGGTCGCTTTTGTCATTATCAAATGTATCATTTGATATCACTTACACATTTTAACACTGTACGAATTCACTAATAATAAACCTATTCACAAAAGTCTATAGGGAATGTTGGGCTGAAAACGGAATCACGAAACTTCCAAAATTATTAGCGTCCGCCATTAGCGGACTTGGTTTTTGTTCGGCGCTTCACTAGGCTTTTGCCTATGTTCACATCAGTCACAGAAAAATAAGATATATTAGTTACTAATGTTGCAATAACAAATGATGTTTTTGTTTTTAATACATTTTACATTTATTTAAATGTTTAGATATAAAACTCAATCTTAATCTTATAATTATAGTCACAAATTCTCTAATTTAAAAATTATCTGTGCATGTTTACATTTCCGTACCATTGCGATTTGCGAGTTGCGACCACGTAGTAAGATCAGTAATGCCAACATTATAAATGTTCTGTTTCCGCTGGCGCCAAAAACTGGTGCTTGTGGCTATGTTCACAGCGAATTTCACAACCGCTTAGTTCATGTTATATACAACAATTTATTATATTCACAAGCAAATGCGTGAAATATAGAGAAGAATTTTATCACAAATGTATTTCTTTTAGTGAAAAAGTAATGTCACTAACATTCTGAATTTCTTTTTAGCCTTGTTTAAATACAATACCAACACAGAGAAAATTAACATCGTAATGCATGGCAATTGGCAACACAAAATTTATTTTACTACAGATTATCGTAATATACTTAAGACTAGAAGGATGGTTTTACACCTTTATATCTGTGTTCCTTTAAGCTATTTAATTTTTTTTAATAAAATTCTTATCAGGGTATATTTAATGGAATTCCAGTAATATTAATTACTTAACATCGCTTACTAAAATGTGAGCTTATTCCACTAGTATGTGGGAGGCACGTGATTACATGAAATTGTAAATATTCATCCCCTTTATTATTGATTTATTGCTCAAAAGTAGTAAGTATATTATACGGGAACGTATTGTCGCTGTCGGACGTACGTTATTTGAACCATTATAACTACGAGTTATAATGCTTTAAACTAGCAAATTCGATCCAGTTTTACCAATATGTAAATAATAGATTTACCACTTATAAAGTGTGTAATATGTAAAGTAACCACGACTCATGGTAACGCTAAACGAATTTTTATAGGAATGACATTAGCTCACGCTTTCGTCATGTGACCATTTTCAATCAAATCCATCCATTTTAGTATAAGTGAATCACACCTGTCGAAAACTGATTTTGTCTAAACCCCCAGTTATCAAACTGTATACAGTGGATTCAAGTTGTTAACATGTTGTGAAAATCGTCTCAAATTATATATTGAATAAAAGCGTAAGCGATACAAATTATGACTATAGAATCTAAGGATAAGATTGAGAGTCATTCATATCACATCTGTTAAGACAATTTTATGTTTAGCCTTTGTTCAAAATTCAAATGGCAAGATACTAGCTAAAAATATATATCATGCCATTTGAACGATTGATTGATTTCCTCATTTCTTTTCGTCTCTTAAAGTTCGCACTGTAATTGAAATATTTCCTTGAAAAATGGGGGGGGGGGAGAAAAAAAAAAAAAAAAAAAAAAAAAAAAAAAAAAAACAAAAAAAAAAAAAAAAAAAAAAAAAAAAACAAACCATAAAACCCAAAAAAAAGAAGGGGGGGGAAGGGAGAAAAGAGGGGGGGGGGTTTGGGTTTTGGGGGCAACAGCCCCCACCCCAAAAAAGGGGGGGGGGGGGGGGGGGGGGGGGGGGTTATAAAAAAAAGGGGGGGGGGGGGAAATAGGGGGGGGGAAAAAAAAAGAGGGGGGGGGAAAAAGGCCCCCGGGGCCTGAATCATATACCTAAACCTACCTTTTGAATCATACTAGATATTGATGATACACAGATAGACGGGGGGGGAACTTATTTTTAAATCATTTAAAAGTTAGACATATGCTGTCGCTGACTTTTTGTAGGCATTATCAAGATCTACAACTTTTCACTAGAACTCGACAGTCGACCATATATCCTCCCATCGTAAGAAACGTCTTCGTTCGAGCAATTTTTCTTCGACTTTATTTGCAAATAATTCAACTATTGCGAAAGTACTTTAAACTGTACATCTTCTACTTTAAAATTGTTTTTTTTTTTCGTTTGTCTTTTTGTAAGAAATCTATGAATAAAAAATAATCGAGTTTTTTTATATTTATCGATTATTTCCTAATTTTTAAACTTTTGAAAGTTTTAGAATAATTACCCCCAACAACATTTTCATGTTTCTTCTCAAATTGTATTATACAGATAGTAGCAACTAAAAGGGCAAAAAAAAGGGGCGCCCCCCCAAAAAGAAGTTTTAATATAAAATTTTTAAAAATAAACCAACCACTTTCACACGCCAGAAACAGTTATAATAATAAGACATAACCTAACTAAACCACTAATATTTTCATAGATTAGATAAAAAGGCTCATTTTTTTAAATATGAGAACAGTTTCATTAAAATCAAACCTGTGTATGGTCTTATTGATTGATAGAGTCATGAGTTGATGACCCCTTTTTTTATAAAACAGAGGACTAACTGACAGTAAGGCTAACCCAATGTTAAGTGATGCTGACCATGGACGCACTGCCAGAATTTTCCAAATGGGATTACCAGCCTTTTAATAGTTGGTACGCTTTCTTAAAGAACCCTAACCTAATATTTTAGAAATACTTAAATTGGAAGCTGATTGCACATAGTGGGGCGCGGCAAAAAAGGACACTAAAAAAACTTTAATGGAGCAAAACCTCTTCTACAAGTTTCATTTCAGGGTTCATGTTTCTCCTTGTATCAAACCGGATTCTGTTTTACAATGTACACATTATAAATCAGAATCCTGTAAGTCCCTGTTTCTGCTGAGAACTATTTCTATTTGACTAAAAATGTTCTTAAGATTCTTCATATATAGTGCAGAACACACACATATTTAAAATTTATGTTATACAGTATTAATTTTGAATAATTTTTTATCGAACTTTATGTACTATATTCCTGTAACTATGAATATGAAAACTACAAAACAACCTTTTAAATGTTTATTTTGTCTTTGTAATACAGAAATTATAATTGATGCAAAAATACTCTTTTCCCAATAAGTGGTGTTAAAATGATTATCCCTTATTTTTTTTTACCCTAATTTTAATTTAATTAAATGCGATTCGGTGTAATTAGGATTACTAAGGTTATTAGGAGGGAATTATACAACAAAATATTCCTGAATTAAAATTTACCTAAATTATTGTACATAAAATTAGTTTAAATTGAAATTGAGCAAGCATTACTCATGCGAAATATCTCTTTCATATAAACATACTTGAAAAAATTATAAAAAATATCTATAAACACAATAATATAAATTAGTTATGGCATAAAATTATTCTAATCTCATATACCTAAATTAAGTACAAAGATCACGATTAATAATTACAAAAGGACTATCGATGACCGATTAACATAATATTATGTATTTTTACTAAGAGCTTTGCATACTGTTTTTGTGCTTGTATAAAAAACCTAAGACTAAAGATTTCATTTTCAAAACTGTAAGAATGTAACAAAATAACAAATCCCACTGATGGTATACTAAATCTAGTTTGTACCCAAACCTCAAATTATAAAATGGGTTAAATTTAAAACCACAAGCCAATGATATAAAAAATAGTATTTTCTTTAACACTTTAGGTCGGACAAGCTAGTTTAGTATATATATTGTCAATGATTGTCTAATTATAAAACACAGATACGTAGGTTCAAAAATTCATGGCCACCATTGCTTATTACATATATTGTTATATTAAATTAAAATTTTATATTTTTTATAACTTTATAACTGTACCATGGCCGTTTAGCAAGCTTTCATTTAATTTCTTGTAAATTGTAATTGAGTGGATCTTTAATTAATTTTTAAATTCACAAATCATAATTTAAAGTATTAGTCTTGCCTTCACGGGGACCCACAGTAAAAACACTACAAAGCCATGAATTTTGACACTTTTTCTCCTTTTGAATGAAAATAGTTCAATTCCAATTGGAATGTTTACAATGTGGTGATATTTCCTAATAATAATATTCATTTAATACTGAAACAGTCTGTTTCCCAACTTATACTATAAGGCAAAATTTAAATACTTGAACTTTTGATCGTGTCTGACTTAGGGGAGATTGACACTTGATGAAATAGATGCAAAATGGCGCGGTATCGTAATATTTACAATGGACAAATTTTGAGAATTAAACATTATTTTCTGTTCTAAATATCTTAGAAATGTCGATTTTTTTAAAAGTATTTTGACATCAACAACAAAAATATTTGTTTTTCTTCAATAACACTTTCTGGCTATTTTTATTATGATTTTATTTCTAGTTTCAAATTAAACAAATGACATTACGATTATTATTCATAATACAATTTAATTTTATGAATCCTAGTTCAAAATGTTCCCTTTTTTAATTATAAAATTCGTAACACAGTGCATTATTGCTATTGATTCAATCACAACTAAATAATTGACAGCGCGCCATTTATTTTCCGACAAGTGCCACACAACAGTTCATAGACGAAATCTACGTCAATCAGGAGGAGCCAAACTCCGCCATCCAGGTGAGATATTTCTGAATGTCACCTTTCGATACGGACTTGTTGCATTTCGATATAGCCTCGAGGAAATCTTGTTTGGTGACCGGCAAGTCCAATTCCTCCTTGGCAAGTTGTTTTATCTGCTCCGGTTTCAAACCAGTGATTCTTCGTCTCATGGACATCATTGACGCGTCCCTGAATTTTATGATGATTATAAATTATGAGCTTAAAAAGGGTGGATGCAGTAATGGGAAAATTAAAAAAATAATAATAATAGGGCACAAAGTACAACTTAATATTTCCAAATGTATTTAATAATATATCTTAAATAAATTAAAAGCAGATTGTACAAAAAATATAAATCATAGAAGTTTATAAGACTTGACCGTCTGTCTGTACTTTATATAAAAAACTATGCTACGCATTATTTTACTATTATATATTATTATAACAATTCGGACAATATATTGAAATATAGGGGTGATGGTATTTAGAATGTAGAACTCGATTTAATACCTGCAAACATTAGTAATGTCTGCTCCGGAATATCCATCCAGCTTTTTGGCGACCGATAGCAAATCCAATTCTGGATCTAGTTTAACCTCGCGAAGGTTTATTTGGAGTAATGCTTCCCGACCTTCCTGCGTTGGCAGAGGGATGTATATTCTCTTTTCAAGCCGACGCCGGAGTGCCTCATCTATATCCCAGGGAAAATTTGTTGCTGCTAATACCATTACAACCTGAAAAGATTTTTCGTAAATTTAAACAAATTGAATACCAACCGCTAACTCTTCTTATAATTTTGTTGTGAAGAGGTAAATAAAGTATAAGAAGAAGATTTAGTTTCGTGTAAAAATTTGAATATTTTGTAGTCTACACATTGAAGATAGTGGGTTGATGACACAGAACTTACTAATCTTTATTAAATGATAAAATAATATACTATCTTTAAGTATGACAAATTAACCATGATTCGAAAACAACAATTACCTCCTAAGCACCTTCAAACCACTCCCAAGCTTCAAACAATTCCAACTCTGAATAATGGTTTAATTTAATTTTTAAATACCAAAATTAAAGCTTTAACAAAAAACGTAACAAATAAACTCTCCGTATGTCAACATGCCATGGAAAGGAGCATGACTGGGATCAAAGGAAAAACAAAGTAAGGAGTAGCAACATCAGAAGAAAGACTAAATAGGACATAACTTTGAAAATAAGAAGACAAAAGTGGAAATGGGCAGGCCACAATCAGGGGAAAGGACATGGAGTAAAATAATCAAACAATGGTACCCAAGAGATGGAAAGAGAAAGAGATAGACCAAAGGTGGGACGACGACATTAGACAAGTGCCCGGGAACAACATGGTAGAGTGGCCATAGAAAGGCCAGAATGGAGAAGATTGGAGGAACCTTTGCCATCTGGCAAAAGAACGAAATGGAACAAGAACAATCTACGAAAAATACTGTCATGTCCGAAAAGAGGATATAATTATTATTAAAATTAAAGGACTGGCTAAGGATTTTGAAAATTTTAATGCATGTGAAGAGAAAATCTTTGTTTGAAGGAAAGCTTGTAAATTAGGATTTACACAAACACTTCGGTTAAAATACCTTTCCAGGTTCGTCTGTAAGTCCATCCATTTGGACGAGCAGCTCCGACTTGACTCGTCTCGAGGCCTCGTGCTCGCTGTCCGAACCTCGCCGGGAACACAACGAGTCTATCTCATCTACAAATATCGTTGATGGGGCGTAGAATCGGGCCTGAAATTGTTATTTAATTATGTCAAAGTATATTATAAAAGTTGAATAAATGCAGCTGTTAATTCATAGTGCGTGGCCTAGTGGCTTCAGCGTGCGACTCTCATCCCTGAGGTTGTAGGTTAGATCCCCGGATGTGCACCAATGGACTTTCATTCTATGTGCGCATTTAACATTTGCTCGAACGGTGAAGGAAAACATCGTGAGGAAACTGACATGTCTTAGACCCAAAAAGTCGGCGGCGTGTGTCAGGCACTGGTGGCTGATCACCTACTTGCCTATTAGATTTAAAAATGATCATAAAACAGATTCAGAAATCTGAGGCCAAGACCTAAAGAGGTTGTAGCGCCACTGATTTTATTTTATTGTCAATTCATAGTGAGAATCTACTCATAATAAAACAAAGTAGCACTTTCTAAAAATAACAACTGAAAATACTGTATATTTGTCTTCATTGACTGGTAGTGGAAATTGTCCTTTTATAGAAATCTGGTTAAGCCAAACGCTGTCAAAAACTTTTTGTCTGTCAAAAATTTGATCCGAGTTATCATGGTCAATAGTATTAAAACAAACAAACTTACCATTTCAAACAGCAGTCTAACAAGTTTCTCAGACTCCCCTCGGTACTTAGAAGTGAGGGTAGACGATGAAACGTTGAAGAAGGTAGTTCCACATTCTGTAGCGACTGCTTTGGCAAGCATCGTCTTGCCTGTGCCTGGGGGTCCAACCATTAAAACGCCTTTCCACGGCCGACGGATTCCCTGGAAATTATTTTTAATGTTAGTTAAAGAGCCTTTTTTGATACTTTATGACCACTTTTAATCTTATTCTGGGAATTCTATACAAATAGTAATCTCTTAGTTAATTCAGCTTAATTGCACCATTTTAACTAAAATACTAATTTGTCTGTTTTCATGATAGCATAGACACAATTTGACAGAAGGAAACAAAATACTTCAGTTATAAGAATGCAATTGGACTGATTTAGTTTTTATGAATAAAGATGTGAAGTTTGCGACAGGAATAATCTCTGGAATGAAGAAATTTCTAAATAATTTTACAAATAAAAAGCTACATATTTAGTACTTAGTGACTTATTTAATTAAGATAATATAAAATTAATAAATTATGTAAGATTTATTTCCAGTTTAGACCACTGTATATTTACTCCAAAATAACCAATTTCAATCAACCTAATATTTTGAATTGTTGTCAACCTTTTAAGAGGTGTCTTTATAATATATAATAATATAAATTTTTTGCTTTATTTACAAAGGTACATTCTGGTTAGTCAGTACAATTTATTCATTCAAAGTAAAAATTTATTGTAAAGAAGTCCGAATACCTTGAAAAAGTCCGGCATCCATAGAGGCAAGACAACGGCTTCTTCCAGCAGCCGCTTGGCTTCAGAAAGATCTGCGATGTCGTCCCACCGTATGTTTGGGTTCTTTTGTACTATATCTCTTTCTGTAATTATAATATTGTTAAGCTAATGAGTATTGCTGTACATGGAACTGGGAAATATCTTTAAATATTATTATAGAATAGTTCGCAAAAGCTTTGCATTTTCGTTTATTTTCTTGCGAAACACATCAATTGACAATGCTAACTAATAAAATCGAACACAAATATAATGTTTAATTTTCATGTCCGAATAAGTTCCATCTAATATATAAAATTCTCGTGTTTGTAATGAAACTCCTCTGAAATGTCTCGACCGATTTTCGTGAAATTTTAGTTAGGTCTGCGAATCGGACAACATCTATGTTTCATCCCACTAAATGTTAAGGGTGGTCCACCCCTAATTTTTGTTATGATACAGCACATAAAAATACATTCAACCCTTAATTTTCGGCCCTATACGATCAACTCCTATTTTTTATTTATAGTAGATAGTTATTTTTATTGAACTAAAAAAATGTTTCCTAGAAATAATAAACATGGCAAAACGACGTTTGCCGGGTCAGCTAGTTTATTATAAAGACGTTTTGCATTTTTGTTGTTCTCTGTATGAATTGAAGATAAATAATTCTTATGACGTTACCTAACATATCGACTAGGTCGTTATCAGCTGAGGAGTTGGGCTCAAACCGTCTCTCGTCCTCTTTGTGTTTCTCCTCATCTGTGTCTCTGTCTCCATTATTGTTGTCTCTGTCCTGCTTGTCTTTATTGTGATCTTTGTTTGTGTCTTTTGTTTTTGCTGAAATAAACAAAAAAACATTAAGAATCATAAAAATTCTATCAGATCTACAACCGACCAAAGTTTCATTGGTAGTTTTAAAGGCAAGCAGAGTCAAGAAGATGTTCAGCTTTTCAATCCTACCTAAGCAAAACTACGTTGAGCAGGGAATAGAACCACAGAGTGATACGCCATTTTCATTAAACAATTAGCTTAGGAAGTAAAATTTACTAAATCAGATTGATAGATTATGTAAATGGTTTTTAAAAAAACTGACATCTTAAATTCCATGAAAAAACACTGTCAACGTAGTATGTTATAATAATTCATATAAATTTCGTACAAAATATACATCCTTTCATTCATAACATTAAATTCTTAATTTGGAATTCATTTCCATTGTTATTGTATAACTTTATCAATGCAATCATATCGCATAACATACGATTCATTACGATGTTATCATCAAATTATGCATTAAACATTACGTGCCACATAATCATATTCTCAGAATCGGAAGTTAATACGACCGCTCCTTTAAAAATTGAGACATTATATGCTTCAGTTATTATTGAGGACTATAAGAATATTAGTAGTCCCGACATTTCACTACAAAAGCCAAAGCGGGAGTTTTTTTTCCCCCCCCTTTTCCCCCCCCCCCCCCCCCCCCCTCCTTTCCCCAAAAGTAAGGATCCCTAAAAGTTCAAAGTTTAAAGACGTGGAATAAGTGATACATGTATCTTATGTTCCATAATAAACATATTTTATTTTATTTTTTAAAGTACAATCGTACAATAATTTGTTTTTAAGTTTCCATGGCAACCGTTCAATGGCTTGATTGCCGTCACTCTTTCCTTATGGAGCAAAACCTACACTAATTCTACATTATAAGAGAAGCAGATAATATTAAAATAGATTGTATGAAATAAAAAACCTAAATAAATTAGGCCTACAATTATAGCATGAAGGTATTCATGTGAAACTAGTAGCTGTGTCGTAAGTCTCGTGAGATTTTATTGTAACACTTCCCTGTGTTGCGGCAGTGAATTAATATCTCTTAAGCACTATTGTATTTAAAAATACTAGTTAGCACTTGTAATGTATGTTATATTATATGCTTATGACGGTGCAAATAGAGCGGAAGCTTTTGTATGAGTTTTGGAAACTTTTTTTTTGTTTTCATGAAATTTGTATGAATGATCTGCGCCCCTTGACTTCTTTTTGGAACAAATATTCCAAGAGACTCTGTCCACACACGTAATAAAAAAATTGATTAACCTATATTATAGACTAGCGGCCCGTCCCGGCTTCGCTCGGATTATTTATTTTTAAACATTTTTTGTAGATATTGATATGTTCTTTGATATTGTCGAACATATATATAGCTTTCGCAACGCATGCGATGAAAGATATTTTATATGCATTTTTTTACACATTGGGTACCATTATTGTAGTTTTAGTTGTGATCTTTTTTTTTTCTTGCAATGAATTAATCACTGATAATATAGCATTCAAATATTGAAAGAATTTTTAAAATCGGTCCAGTACTTTTTGAGCCAATTCGTTACAAACATACCTACTTACATAGAAATCTTTCCTCTTTATAATATTATAAAAAATAAGTATAGATAATCACGGCGTGAGTTACTTACCGCTATGTGCCTTTGTATTAATTTTGGGGTTTCGTACATCTGAAGTCTTTCTTTGCGAGGTGGTTGCTGTCTTAGGTGCAGGCTTCTTGGCGTCAGCTGTTCGATTATTTCGCGGGTTGTTGCGGGCTGATTTCAATGGCGGGGGACCCCTGAATATATTCGTTAAAATATGTTGATAAATTAGAATTTAGAAAATATGTCAATGTTCGGTATCAATCATTCTTTCATTTTGTTTCTATTAAATCTTATCCTTTTTACGTTGAAACTAAATATTTATTTTCATTATGAATTTGAGGGGGGGGGATGTGCTTTTGTAAAACGTTACGATGCGGGGCGGCGATTGAATTACACGTTATTATTTAAAAAAAATCGACTTTCCAGTACTATACACCACATAGTTGTAACTTTTAGGTATAAAGAGTCACTACTCACTACGTGGTCACAAAACGTTTTACTATTGGGTACAGAAAAACGTTACGGCGCGTTACATGGGGGGGAGGGTCAATAATCTCCACGGCAACGCTCCCTAAGTAAGTATAATTAAATTTACTTATGTTCAACGCTGGTAGGTGAGGGCCAAGAGCTGGGATCTCTATCAGGCGGTGGTGGCCAGATGTCAGGATCTACTTCATGCGGTGCGGGTGCCCAGATCATATCTCGGGTCGGTAAGTCTTCTAGATCTGAAATAAATAACATAATAAGGTAAACTAAGAAAAGTCAAGTGAAGACGATCTTTAGATACTATAACTCCCTAGGTGATGCAAAAGCGACCCTGAGGAACTGCAGTGCGTCCGCGTTCTATACATGCCAGAGAACCTGGAGTAGCCCGACTCTCATACTCCTGCAACTTTCACTGACGTTCCATTACTACTTCGGATATCATATCTTTAGACAGAGAATAAAACTAGCTTAGATTATTAACAAGGACTTATTGCACGCCTCACAGTGCTCTACTCTCGACATGTCAAAAAACCCAGTCTTTCGAAACTTGAATGACTTTTTTCTCACTAATATAACACTTACAGGATAATATGAGTGCACGAAAATCGAGTTAAATAATCTATCAAGCACATATGGTATTTTTTATGAACAATTATTTTGTTTAACATAGTAAATACTAACATTAAAATCAATCATTCTTGAATGTCCGTCAGTCTGTGTTTATGGATCCATGTATGTGGCAGAGAAATTGGTCGAAAAATTTATCGTACCAGAATACTTTTTTTCTTATTATATAAAGTTATACCCTGGGCTGATTCCTAGTTAATATTAGCGTTCTAAGTACTGTCGTTTAATTATAATTTGTATACGACTGTTCCTCACCAGAGAGCGAGTCATAGTTTGGCGCCACTAAATATGTATGTTTAAATATTCTTCGTAGCGTGAGACTTAAAGATAATAATTTATTTGTTTTAAAAAACTTGAGTTTTTGTTTTAGAATTTTTTTTTTAAATGTGAATGACCGCTATGAGGCGTGCACTTTTGGATTTTCCAAACTATTTCAAAATTCACGCGAAATTAACTATATCGTATGCATTTATCCTATTCTTATAAACCATCATATCGCGTAAATTTATTTTCTAAACAAATACTTGTTCGGTGACTCAACTAGAGTTAAGTCTAAATTTGGTAAACCGGACGCCGGTGATCTAAAGACATTAATGTCACTCATTAACAGGTTCTGGGTAAAAAGTGCACCAACTTAACATTGCACATAATTGGCTTGAGATTTAACCGTTACTGAGAATTACTCATGTGGAAGGAATGTCTTTTAATTGGAATCGTTTGACCGTAATGGTTATCAAAAATAAATAAAGTTGTTTTAAGGCCCGTAAACCCAAAGCTAACAATGTATTTTTTGAGGGCAAGTAGGTAAGTCATGCTATGCTTACAAACCAAATATAATAATTGTTTCGCCAGGAAACCTGGGTATGAGGCACCAAGTGGAAACGGTGACATAAATTGTTATTAAATTCTTAATATCTAGCAAAACAGGAGGTTCGATTGTAGCTTGAGCGAGCATGTTCCAATGACTTCACGGCGATTGCTTTATATAGATTCCTTTTTAGTGATCAAACGCGATGGAGACTCAATGTGCCCTCTGCCCCATCTAAGGATTATAGGTCAAATATTATGTCTAACTTATAATTATTCAAAATTAAATTTATAATTAATTTCTTTCTATTCTTATTATTTATTCCGGTCCTTTATTAAGGGAGATTAAATACGGTTAAATTGAACTTCATCTTGTGTGACCCACTCGAGTTAGAATACAGTGTGCTGTGCATTCAATACGGTACAAATAATCTTCTTAAATTTAGCCTTACATAGATATTAGGGTCAAGAGTGCTCACTGATGCTGATGCCTACACCTGTCAAGTGCCTATTGAAACTTTCGAGGAAAGTCGTAGAGTCACCCACGCTGATAAAGTAGTTTATCTTAAGACATTCGTAAACACGAAACTTTTAAAGGTTTTTTAAGACAGAGCGTAAACCGACGACTGATGACGAACTGCCTATATACCAGATATACCAGAAAGGTCGTGTCTGGGGTTCTGCGCCGTAACTCTGCAACTAGTGATTACAATGAGAGTATGCGCAGTGCGCACGTTCCTAAGTTTTAGCGAGGTTTAAACGAAACCAAATTGTATTCGTTTTTACAAAAAACTCCCAAGCGAAATTAGAGAATGGGTCCCCGTAACAAGTCGGAAAATGCATATATTATCTATATATTGGTGTCCTTTTGTCGATTAGGTACAATACTTTTTAAATCATTGAAATCGGTAAATTGGTTGCGAAGATATTACACATTTTGTACAAGCCAACCGCGGGGCGGCCGAAATGTCATGTGACGTCACGATTTCCTACCGCCCGCGGTCGCTCTCCGCCATTATTTATGATACGGGATTTACACTCGCGCTTCGTCCTCGCCTCGTGCTCGCCTCGTCCCTCGTGCGAGGCTCGTGTTGATCGATGGTAAATGAGTTGCCTGTTTACACTCGGCGATTCAGTCGTCTTTGAGCTAGCAACAATGGAGGACGTCGAAGTTTTAGCAGCAACAAGTTTGTGCGTACTGGGCTTATACTGCTACGTCACTAATTTAAATAAAAGGAAAGTAGTAAAGAAACGGCGGTGGCGCCCAAGAAGATGGTGGATGATATCGATTCATCGCAAAAGTTTCATCCATATCTGTTCAGCAGTAACGATATACTAGCGCCATTACCGACTAGCTCATCTGTCTATACCTACTTGATGATATTTATTGAAGATGACTAATTACTTGAACTGACTAATTACTTGAATAAACCTAACTAAACAAATATGTACTTAGTTTTATTTTACTTACTTGTCTTTCTTCATGTCACTGTGTTTAACTGTAAATGGATGCCAAAAATTTTCCATAGATCGTAATACAACCACACTGGTTGTAAATATCATCTTCTCTGCGCGACCTTACTGATTTTTTTGGGGAGTAGCTGGGAAATGTAGCATGAAATTTTCTTTTTTTAATCTTGAGACTCCCATTATTTCGACAATCTCGCCCAGATCGCTAACTTTTGGCTTTCTTGTGGATTTATTAGGTCCCAAATTATTGTTCTTTTTGAAATTTTCTATGAACTTAAATTTTGTTGGACCAATCCTTTATAGATTACTGGTTTTTGTTTTTGCGTATTTAAAACTAAACACAACCTGCGGGCACGATGTAGAAGCCAGAATAAAGCGGAGGGCGAATGTAACACCCACTCGGTGCGACGGAGGTCCTTTGACTCTCCCCAAAAACCCTCCGACGCGAGCGCCGGAGGAGGGCGAGGGACGAGGCGAGCAGAGCTCTTAACTCGCACCTCGCCCTCGCCTGTCCCTCGCCTCGGCTCGTACGCGAATGTAAATGGCTATTAAAGTTTACTCGATCTGGCGGTGTTGTGGTTTTGTGGATTTTATCTGAAAATATGCCGCATTATAAATACTGTATAGTACCGAAATGTACTAATACTTCAACTAGTAACTGAAAAACTGTTTTTAATGTGCCAAGGGACCTGAAAGTGGAAAAAATGTTGTACTAAAGTAAATAAAAAACATTTTTATCTTCTATAATGTTTATTGTAATCCCTATAGAAATCTAAAAAAGAAATTATTTAATTATTTGGGGAATATATATTCCCATTATAAATCTAAATATATATTCCTTCCAAAATTTTTGCCTTAAAGAAGATATACATATTCTATCATATCACTTAGTATTCCACTTTTTGATTTTTCAAAATCTACATCTGCTACACAAAATAATCCTTTGTTTCTTTACAAAAAAACATTTGAACTGTATTTGGCTTTTATTTTTCGTCAAATCATTATTTTTACAAAACTTTCTTTTCCTTTTTATATTGGAATTTTATCTCTACAGATAGTCAACCATCTGGGAAGACCTGGATTGGCCACTGGGTTTTAAAAATAGACCACAATTGACATACTGTTCTTATTTAGCACCACTGCTTTACTCGTCAATTTCCCTTTCATGCGATTCTCTGTATGGATCCCGAAAATCTTTCAACTAAAATACCATCATTTATTTGCAGCTTGTGAATTTTTGACGCCGTTACTCTGAGTATCTTAGTTCCCTCCACAATGGTAAATCAGCTTGGATAATTTTTCTTCTTTTGTAATCTTTATTTTGAGAGAAGTCAATAAAATGAGATTTTATATCTAACCCTCTTTTCTAAACTACTTATTAATACATGTAATGATATTTTTTTAAGCTTTGTGGTACGCATAGGCTGCAGCTGGTTTTAATAGATTTTTCTTGTACTGTTTTTTTATACTTCTACAAATTGACCTTTGACAAACTTATTTATTTTGGTTTCCTGATCCCATATCTTTAGTTATAAATTTTAAAGTGGTGCCCACCGTACTAATTTAGGCTTAGCCAATAACATTTTTTTTGATTTGCTTCGTCTGTGAAGCCACATAAGAAATGCTAACGGCTACAACCTCCCAGTTGAGCCGCACAATCATGACACTCAATTTTACTATTATTCTTGTTTTCATACAAGTAAATTTTCAGCAATAAGCTTTACCCTTTATTTTACTTCTGGTTAATTTTGCTTTGACTGTGCATATATCTCCTATTCTTTGACTGAACAAATCCCAAGCTTATCACCATATGATTACGCCTGACCTGAAAAAAATATGTAGGTTTAGAATACGTAACATTAGCGATCTCATTAGGATTGCTTGTTCAAACAATCTAAGGTAAACGAATAAAGTATACCTACCGATTACTTTTTTCTTATATTCATTTGCACTGACAAAACTAGACGACAACAATACGCAAGTCAATAATTGAAATGAAATTATTCATTTCTCTGCACTTTTCTTACTTACCTACCAGAATGTGCCGTCTTACCTACTAAAATACTAGGAACTAACTCCCAATAAGATTTCCGACTGGCAATGACAGAAACATTGAGAAGAATATTCCCGTAACAGTTCATATCCATAAACCTTGTTGGGAATATTCCGGGCCTGAATACGACCCTGTATTCCTGACCTACTTATTATCCTGCTGTTTTATTAGGTTGATAGTGAGTTTGCTTACCTCTGAATTTCCAACCACGAATTTCAGCGCTTGTGTAGTTTAAATGATTACTAAGATAATCAAATACCATGAAGGTATCAACTTTAGGTA